GAAGCAGTGTGGTAGAGCAGAAAAGAGAGTTGACGTCGACACACTCTTATTGTGCTACTAATAACCCAAGTGTGAGCAGCTGGAAGGCGGGTTCCTTTGGCTCTTGGCTGTGTGTTGCCCAGCAATACTCTCCACGTAGATCATCCTTGTGGGACGAACGACTGAAGGAATCCCGATTACAAAAATGACCTGATCTATTTGGATCTCTGTTGTTTCATCTATAAAAGAAGTGTGCTGAAGTGACACTTAGATCTCTTCTAGATGCTCCTTTCTATAACAATTAGTGACTTCTAATTTAACATAACTTCATAAATATCTGCCTAAATTTTATCAAAGTAGAAAGATAGGTGACTGCTTGTATTTTTAATACATTAAATTCAGATTGACCACTACATATCTTTAAATTAACACCAGGGTTGAGAAAATTTTGGTTTATTATTGGCTACCTTGTTAACATCAATTCGAACACTACCACACATAGCTTACTACACAACACCATTGAATGCTTACAGCTCTGTCACCCTGAAAACCTCAGATATGTTACATCTAAGCTGAGGAGGGAAAGGGTATGTCAATTATTTTATAATCAATTCAACAAATATTTGGTCAACATTTGCTGTATACTTTGCATCTAATCTTTCCATCTAAGATAATGTTCCTAGATTTACATGATGGGCAAATCTGGTGGCCTAATAATCCTCTTACATATTAGATTTTGTCATCTGCAAGACATTGAATAAAATTTAGGGAAATATATGGCAATGGAATAGAATAATGTCACTGCAAACATTTGTTGATCTGTCTTTCCTTCCTTCCTCTTTCTCTCTCTTTTTCTCTTTTTTGTTTTTTTGTCAGAGTGTCAAAGTAAGTAGTGGGATTGAGCTATTTTTCAGTCTGTCTAACTGGATGACAGTAGTGTACATGTATTGAATACAAGAGAATAGCCATCAGGTTAATTTATATTTATCACTTACTTTGGTGTAGAGTAGGGCCATGGAGGGGGACAGTTATCTGAAATGAAAGAGTAGCATCTATCTGCCTACTATGAATTAGGGGAGTTGAAGTAAAATTCAGTTACGGGTGATAGAGACTTCCACTCCTCATCATTGACTTTTTTATTTTTAACTTTTCATTTTGAAAGATATATTGGACTTTTAAATAAAATTTTCTTTGAAAAATCTGATCATCAGACCATAATTTTGTTTCTCCTGACACCTTGCCAAATCAGGAATAGATTTTTGGTGGGAAAATATTTCTTGGTCTTCTAGAAAGATGTGCGGTTGTTAAAATCTGTTACAAGTTGTGTTCAACTCTCAGCTCAGCTGTTTCCTAGCTGTGAGACCTCTGGCAACTTGTATAATATCTCTGAGTTTAAGTTTTGTCATCTGTAAATGGTACTTAAGTCACAGACGGCTGTGAGGATTAAATGAGATCACAGAGATGAAGCTCTTTAGCAGAGCACTGGGCACATTATGAGCTCGCAATCATAGTAGGCTACTATCAATATGGGGAACTGTACTATAAGAAAGCCAAAGGGGAAAAGAAACAACAAAAGCAAAAATTTGATTTGGTCAGTGCTTCCGACTTACATTATGTCATGAAAATATCTTAGCAAAACGATTAAACATTTCAGGGACATTAAACTGTCTCTTATTTAGCAGAACACAGGCCACAAAAGGTGGAGTGAATTTTCACATTTCTGGGCTAGATCATCGCATGCAATATTAGAACATTCTGATTTTTTTTTTTTTCTTGCTGAATCTAGAGAAAGAGCTTCAGATGGATGGTGAAACAACATGATGTCCAAGGGAGAGTTTCTGAACCCCTCATTTCTGTGGGCAAATGGCTGTTTGCCACTTCTTCCATTTGGCTTTCTGCTGTGAGTGCAGGCTGTGCGCCTGCTAGCCTAATTGCTACAATTAGCAAAATTAAATGGCTCATTGTGTTTTTATACAATTCCACCCACATTCTGCAGAGTTTTACTTTTGAATGAGTAATTATCCTGTCGAGGCTCTTGATCACAGGCACATATTGAGTCTTTCCATGTGCCGATTTTTAGGAAAGCCACTGGATAAGACATGTGTCCATAGAGAGAACTCTGCAGTGGCCAGCGCAGCCTGCCTGAGTGAGGAGAGAGAAGCAGCCCTACTGTTAAGGCCAGTTCACAGCCTGATACAGGTCAGGGCCACAGACTTGGAAACGAGGTGGGGGAATGGGGGCAGGGGCGCGGTGATAGAGGGAAATGGCCCATCCTCAGCCAATTTGAAATGCTCCAGCTTCAGATGGGGAGAAGGGGTGTTAGGAGTCACAAGCTGGCAGAAGCAGTCATTTTGACTGTTCTCAAAAGTGACATTGGATTGCTGAACATAAATGAACATGAGTTGATCTGCATCGATCACTGAAATTATAGAAACAAGCACCTCAATCCTGTTTTGTTTTCACCGTGCACTTCAGCATCCTCTGAGCTATATTTCTAAAAGACAGTTGGAGCTGTTTTTACAAAGGCTTTAAGGAATTCTCCTTAGAACCATAAAAATGCAGGCATCACATCCAAGTTTTATATAGAAACAGTAATGGCTAATGGAAAGATGTGTGAGAATGCAAGGGAGCATATATTTAGCCTAGAAAGTGCTTCATTAGAAAAAAAATCTCTGGATTTTTGTCTAAACATTTTGTCAGAACTTGTTTCAACTCAATGACATTTTGGTACATTTAAAGGCAAATGCGTAACCTTACACAACCCTAGTAAGGACACCAGAGGTTTTCTTTGCTCAATTCAATCAGTTCAGAGCAAGAAACTTTAAAATGACTCAAAACTGTTTTCTATTTAGCTGCTTAAAAGATGAGATCCTTAAGGAGTAATAAAGCTCATTCAAGCTAAAAGGGCTAAATTATATCTAGGTATTTCCAACTGAATTCACAAGTTTGTTGATGTCTTATAGACATGGAGTGCCAGCCTGGGCTGATGCTGAAAAAGAAGTAGTTAAAAGCTTTTTATCTAAATGTCATGTGTCAATAACATACCAATTTATACATGAAAGGGTAGTATATACTTTATCCTTTTCATCTCCGTTACTTTAGTTGTGTGTGTGTATATATATATCTATATACATATATAACATACAAAATACAATATATATATAATATACACACACATTATATTTAAAAAAACAGTCATTGAGATTTCAGTTATTTCCATTCACTTTTAATTGGTCAATGCTATCACTTCATTTATTCATAGAGCAAAATAAATCAAGCATTTAGAAATTAAGTAGAAATACTTCGTTATACTTTTATCTTCACATTATCTTTGCGTTTTATCTTTTGCTAATATTTGAATTGCATATTCTAGCCATGTCAGTAGGAGAATTTATTTCATTTGGGTTTACAGCATTACCATAAATGAATAGTAACTGAGTGTCTGCAAAGTCAATGCTACTGAACTGGACAGAACATAGTTAAGTAGGACAATGTAAATGTGAGAAAAGAATTTAAAGGACATAGTCATTTTGGGGGACCAAACTTTGACTTACATGGAAAAAATATTTTTTCTTCCACACAAATACTTAAAGTCTCAATATAAGATATATATGTATTCCTTAATCTTAAATATGGTTTCATTTAGAAATGCTAATTTGGAAGTGAAAAAGATTTATAATATTTTTAGAAAATTTCACGGTCCTACGAAAAAAGTGAGGACTAAGACCAGACTCCCCTGTAAAGAATCCAGTAGACTCAGGCCTGGGAAGTCGGAGCCCACAGATAGAATCCAGCACTCCCGGTCTGTGTGCTAACCACAGCTTGCTCCTTTTGGATTCTCCAATTACTCTCTCTGGAGGGTTCAATGGCAGATTGAAAATGAAATCTTAGGAAGAACTCAAATATAAATACAAAAATCAAACTTTGTTCCTTTGTACATTGACAATGTCTCTTTAAATCCTAATACTTTAAACTCTCTGTTATCTGTGTATCTAGAAACTAATAAAAGTTCTTTTCACCACACAGTCTGATGGCAGTGCAGTGCTTTCTGAATCCTGGAAGCAAGAACAAGTCATGATTTTCCTCGGAAGTAAATTTTTTTGTTCGTGTAATCTTGAGAAAGTTTGTAATTTATAACATAGCGGAGATGTCATTTTCTTAAGAAGAATTTTTGACGACCTAAAACATCATAATCTTCAAGTATGTTGGATAACAGAGTATTTACAGTATTTGGGAAATCATTGAAAAATTCAAACTTCTTACACCTTCCTGACTGTGTTTTCACCTCTAAGACAAAGCACAATACATTATTTTTTATTCACATAGCACTCATTTTGACTCTTAACATGTTAAATGAGGGATCGAGTTGAGAAATAACTTAGGACTTACATGATTGAAGAGTGATGGGGCCTGTTTGGTGTGATGATTGACATTATTATACCATAATCTGTTATTTATTCATGGAATCAAAGGTATAGTTCAGTTGAGCAATTCAATTTCCAAAGATCATGAATTAAAAGTTGTCTTGGAAATAATGAAGCTAAGAACTCATGGTTCTGCACAAAAGTGAAGAATTTGCCAATATAATCATTTTTTCCTTCTATAAAGGGGGTGGAATGTTTTCACCAATTGCTGATAAGGAGAGAGTCTTCCTGGGCCTTTCCTGGTGACTAGGTAACCTTTTCACATCTGAACAAAAGATTATTATTTTTTAGTGGAAATCTTGCTTGGAGGATCAAATCATGGAGTACTAGGAAAGTATGTCTACTGATAAAAATCATCTATTTTTTAAACATTGCTTTGGGGCTTTGTACCAAAAGAAGTCCCAAGTTGAACCCTCTGTCACTTCCTGTGATGTCATCATGGGGACAGCAGTCTCTGTGGCACACCTGTTACAGGTGGTGGCTATAGAACCTGACTATTTTAGGAGAATTGGACAATCCAAATAACTAAATAATTAAGTTAAACTGACTTTTTTCTTTCTTTTTTTTTCTTTTTTCATTTTCTTTTTTTTTAGTGACGACTAATATTTAATATACCAGTTGGGTTAATATAAAACCAGGGAAGGAAGTTTAAGACATCTTCCACTGTGGTCAGGTTTGTCATAATGGACGGATGAAAGTAATCATTTACATCTTTGATTTCCTGGGAAACATTGGCCAGTCTTGACAAGCCCTTTCTAGTTAAGCTGATTCTCTCGTCACCTGATATTCTGATAGCACCCCTGGCCAGGTTCCTGGGGGCACCAACATTGCAAAGTAGGGTGATCTTGCAAGAGACAAATGTTCTTAATCTGCCGAGGCAGGCTGATGGAATTTGTGGACCAGTTTCTGACATCCCAAGTAATTATGATGCTTAAAGTATTTTAAACGATTCCAGGTCTATAAAAAAAGTGATGATGCCTATATGTATACCCTATATTTTTTATTACAAAAATATTGAAATAATCCATGAGTTATTCCACTCTGCACCAACTATAAAAAAATACTATCAAAGTTTGACCGGCACTTTTAATGCAACAAAAAAGCACCATGACCGAGGACACCGGGAACAGAAAGCGGGGAACGTTTACTTGCTGTACGGAGGTATTTAAAACCCAGAAGCTTGTTGTAAGAGTGACTTTACAAATGATTCAAATACAAATCTTAGCTGGATCTAGTGGCAAGCCTTCCGTCAGTCAGAAGGGTTTTCTCATAGCATATTCACCATTTGTCTGCTCATACTTACTAAAAGGTGTCCCAAAGCCTCTAAAAGACACATCACTTTGACCTTGGAGCGGGGGACGGGGGGGCGGGGGAGGGGGTCTGTACACAGTGGAGAACGTGACTGCTCATGCTCGCTTTTGCTTTCTTGGGGCTCACGCCGCTCGTTCTCAGTCGTTCAGGGCTTGCGTGTCAGCCCCGCGGTTGGACGGTGTTTGGCACTAGAAAGGTGTGGCGTGGCGGGTTCTGGAATCGCGCCCGCCTGTGATCGCAGAGCCGCGCGTTCGGCGGCCTGCAGCATCCAGTTCCAGCCGGTTCCTCTCCCGCCGCTCTGCCCTTGCGTTCCAATGTGAGCTGCACAGGCCGGGAAATCAGATGCTCATTTTGCCTTCTCCCCCCACTTCTTCTTTGTGTATTTATTAAATTTTTGCTGTTGAATACTGAATCATGATTATCATTTAGTTTACATCACTAAGTTATCGAGCTCCTTGGTCTTGTCAAAAGCCACACACGTGCTGCATAGGATTTCTGTCATGTTCTCAACTGAAAATTTAAAATAAAAAACAAATCCTGAAATGTGTCAAAAACAACCAATCCATCAATTCTAATACACGTGTAAACACACTTGAGTTTGCTGTCCATTGGATAGGCTTTTCACGCATGGTATTGGTTTCCCAATGAGAAAATGGTTTATGAATTTTTTTCTAAGCAGTACTATTTGTTTTTCTGGAGTCTTGAGGGATATATTCTCTCTTTGTTTTTATTTATATTCCTGTGGGAATCAGAGGTTTGCATCAAGAAAAATCACCTAACCTATTTTGACAGAGGACTGGCGTTGTGTGTGTGTACGTGTGTGTGTGTGTGTGTATGTGTGTGTGAATGACTGAATATATTTCTATGCAAAGATCAGTTAATCCCATCAAAACACCCTATTGATTGGAGGCAACATTTTCCATTATAATAGTACCCTCTGGTGGATGAGCTGAAAGACTGCGCAGGAGGTCGGTAGCAACAAGGAGTCCTGCTAAGCTGGCACGTTCCCTTCAGGTGGAGCAGGAGACTCTCGGGGCTGCTATTTTGAAAGGAGACCAGCCGCAGGCAGTCAGCTGATGGAGGGTCACACAGCAATCATGACGACGGTCAGACTAAACGTTACAGCTCGTTGCCCCACTCTAGGATGAAGTTTCATTATTGCCACAGCCCTGCTGTCACCCCTTCATCTGGAGGTTGTGGCTCCTCCAAGTCCTTTTGTTTCACAAAGTGGTTTCGTACTCCAGCCGCTCCTGAATGAGGGCATCATCTTTGTACTGCAGCCTTGGAGGAGACGGGGAACATTCAAAGGCTAAAATGGCCTTCCGGAGGCTTCGGTCCAACACATGTCTCTCCCACGCTGGGTACCTATTCCTGAACAGGTCAATTTTAATGACAGATTCTTCAATCCGTGGTGGGCGGGATGATGGGGTGGATGGGGCAGTGGGCCTCACCTGAAAGACGGGCACGCACCCATCCCGCTCTGCAAATTTCTGGTCACGGTCACTGACGACACTGCGGTTGTTGGAGATGGACCGGAGGGTGCTTGTGGCCGCTTCTGGAGGCAGAGTGAAGGGAGCGACCGGGTCCTCACAAGCGCAGCTCGGTGACTGCCCGAATCTGGGTCCGTTGGGGTGAAAGAAGGCATAATACATCAGCATAAAAACAACGCCAGTCAAGAAACTGCTGAACACCACACACAGCGCTGGGATGGCAAACGCATCTGCAATCTGGGGAGCCTTGTAGAGGTACCAGAGGGCACTCAGGGCTGTGTTTTCCAGAAGAATGACAAAATAGTAGATGAAGAGCCTGCAGCGTGTCCTGCCTTCCTTGACATTGAACCAGCTGAAGATATAGATGATGCCCACCACCATGTCGAAGACGATCTCCTCCCATTTGGTGATACAGAATTCTGTCTCACAGTGGACGATCCAGAAGGTCATGATGCACCAGTGAAGGACGATGAAGATCCCAAAGTACAGCTGGAAAACCGAGGCAAAGAGAGCGAAGGTGATGACCCTGGCAGCGATGGTGAAGAAGTGCCAGCAGAACTGGATGACAACAGCCATGTAGCTGATGGGCTTCTTGTCATCTCGAGAGTCCCGGAGGGCCTTCTGGTAAGAGGCCAAGGCCCAAGCCAAAGACACGAGGGAGGCTGCTGCTGTGAAACCTACAAAGGCAAACAGGAAGACATTCTGTCAAAAGTGAGATGCAGTGTTGTCTCCTGAAAATAAGTCACGTGGAGCTGGGGACTTGAGACAGCTAGCTTTGACCTCAGCAAAGCTCTTAATTTCTTTGAGTTTTAGCTGGACTAACTGCTCAGATGAGGCTCCTAGTATCTGTCCTCTTTGGGGCCCCAACCATATGGAGAAGTCATGAAGCTAATAAGAATGCTCCTCAAAACCATCATATGGGGTGTGGAATCTGGAAATGGAGTGGGTTTAACTTTCTGTGTATTTGGTGTAAATAGACTAAGGAGAAAGTTTTATGTAGTGGGAATATAATTGTGGACTGGATGTTGACAGAACTGGGTTGCTGTTTCAACTTTGCTGATTATTACCTGCATGACTTTGGATAATCATTTAAACTGGGGTCCTCATTTATAAAGTGGATGATCTCCAGGCTCCCTGTCGGCTTTGAGATTCTGTGATTGAAAGGGATAAATAATCACAGGAAACTTGAGGGGCTAGCTGGTTTACCCTTCTGCTTCTAAATGAGAATAAATGTAGTTCATTCACAAAAGAAAGTTTACTATTTCTTTTTCTTTTTTTTTGGTGAGGAAGATTAGCCCTGAGCTAACATCTGTGCCCATCTTCCTCTATTTTGTATATGGGACGCCACCACAGCATGGCTTGATGAGTGATGTAGGTCTGCGCCTGGGATCCAAACCCGTGAACCCTGGGCCACCGAAGCCGAGGGCGCCAAACTTAACCAGTGCACCACTGGGCCAGCCCCAGAAAGTGTACTATTTCTTAAAAATAAGAAAAGGAGTCCACAGAACCTCCTTGGCAATGTTTCCTGTGATACCTGGTGTGCAGTTTGTCCTAATATAATCTGACACTCTTCCTACAGCTTTCTTCTGCTTAGAAGAAGAAATGTCTGTTCACTGACACTCATCTTTTATTCTTTTATAAATTAAAGATGGTATAGAAATCACTTCTCAAACACTTCTCTTATCATTTTCTGAGCCCCATTTGGTTAGTATTCCTCCTAAAAGTATGTTTCCAAATTTTAAAAATTATTTTTATTGGTTCCCTCCGTTCTTGCTCCATCTTCTGTGTCTGAAACATCACCTCTACGGTCCAGACGCGGACAGGGCTCACCAAAAGCCCACTGGCCTGCTTTAGGAGATAGCTTTTTTGGGGAATTCCACTTTGTCACTGAAACGCTATGTCAATCTGCATTGCAGCTGGTTTGCTTAACAAACCGTACCAAGACTTACCAAGACTAAGAACAGTTCTACTACTAAATATACTACTACTACTACTACTACTACTAAATCTACTACTAGATATAACCAGGCCATGTTAAGAGTCTGTCTCCCACTGTGGAAATAACAGAAGGGAGATTGCCAAGAACTTACAATGGAATTTGTACTTTTCATATTTTGATAGAGAAAAGCTGTCTGTGGTCCTTGAAAAATGAATTTAAAAAAATGACTCTTGTGGGAAAGAGCTACTTGAATTGATAGAAAAAATATGCAAACTCAACAATCATTTCTTACACATTTTTCTTATGATGAACTCCAGAAAAACACAATTACTGATAAAATATTTTCCAACAGCCACTTCTCATATCTAATCCCAGTCAAGCCAGCAGAACACCACATCTTACACAGGACCTTCAGTTTTTACTGGCCAGCACAAAAACCTTTCATTACCTTAACTCTCAGGCAGTTATGGCAATATTTCTGGGTCAGTGAGATTCCAGTACACAAGGAGTTTATGTTAATGTAATTTCTATGTGGTGGAAACACCTATATCAATTATAAAGCAAGTTCAGAAGTGAAAAGAAAGGGATGGAGGAAAAGTTAAAAAAAGAAGAAAGAAAGTGAGAGGATGGGAAATAAAAGTTGATGGAATAATGACTATTTGAACCACATATTATCGATTTAGGATATAAGAGCAAAGGTAGTGCCATTTTAATTTGAACACCTTTGTGGGTGACCTCACTCCTCATGACCTTGCTCCTTATCTGTACCATTTGTGATGGCACGGATTGCTGCTTGAATAGACTGTGTTTTTGTGCGTTTAAGCTCTGCACCCAGTGCTGCCTCTCCACAGGAACGGCTCTCCTGTTTTCACACGCCCGCTCCATTCCTTAGGACTTAAAGAACTACGTCCTTAAGCACAGCGCCACCTTCAGGAAGATGGCTGCATTGGCGGTCAGGCTCCCGCAACGGGAGCCGGTTGGATCAGGCTAGTCAGAACGCTCAGGGTAGTCAGCCCAAGGTACTCGTTTGTACAGGGAGATATTATGAAAGAAAGGCTGTTTTCCAAAGCGGTGAAACATAGTAAAAAAAATTTTACGTACACAACATCATAAAATTATCTTTTGTCAGATTTAAAAGAATTGGAAAATTAGCTTAGTCCAAATCCCCCTGTAATCTTCACCTCTTTTATTGTATGTCTTAAAAAAGTAATTCAGCCTGCTTTTGACGCTGCAGGGAGTTGTTAAGACAATATCTGGCAGTAGAAAAATGAAGATTTTCTATCAGCTTTGCTTTCTATGTAGCTTACTATTTAAGAAGTCTATACCAAAGGCAAATGTCATGTCCATCATGACCACTTCCTTTATGAATTCTCCGTTTTAGCAAGAGTTGCCCTTGTTCATTTGATTATGATTTCTTATTCTTCTGTTTAGCAATTAATTTTTGTAAGACCAATATATGCCTGAACAGAAAATATGGGGCCATTATTAGAATTACTCCTTATTACAAATTCACACCTGCCATGAAATGCTTAGTTCTTTTGCTTTTTACACAAATAATATCAGCTCAGTTGTTTCAAATGCCAAGAGAGACTTCCTCAGCAAGGCACCACGTTAGTAATGGAGTAGAATTCTCCAGAACTTCTGGCACATGGTGGCACAGTTCTGGAACACAGAACTCTGAGCACTCCTTTGGCTAACAATGTATATTTTAACTTTTTATTTGAAAATAATTTCAAACTTACAGAAAAATTCCAAGGAAAAAAATAGTACGCTAAACACCTATATACTCTTTGCCCAGATTGTCTTTGGCTTCATGTGCTTTATCGTTGCCTTCTCTCTCCCTTTCTCTCTCTCTCTCTCTCTGAACCATTTGAGTGTAAACTGCATACCTCATGGCTGCTATGGTCTGAATGTTTGTGTCCCCCCAAATTCATATGTGAAAATTCTACCCCCTAAAAATGATGGCATTAGTAGACAGGGCCTCTAAGAGTTGTTTAAGTTATGGGAATGGAGCTCTCATGAGTGGGATTATTGTCTTATAAAAGAGGCTCCAGAAAGATCCCTAGCCCCTTCTGCCATGTGAGGAAGATAGTGAGAAGGTGCTGGCTATGAACCAGGAAGAGGGTCCTCACCAGAAGGTGACTGTGCTGGCGCCTTGATCTTGGGCTTCAAGCCTCAGGAACTATGAGAAATTAATTTCTGTTGTTTATAAACTACCCAGTCTGTGGTATTTTGTTATAGCAGCCTGAAAGGACTAAGACAATGGTCTTTTACCCTAAAATATATCAGTTCCTATTTCCTATGAATAGGGATATTCTCTTAGATAACCACAGTAAATTTGTCAACTTCAGTCAATTTAACATTGATGCAATACTTTTTTCTTAATCCACTGTCAATATTCCAATTTCATCAATTGACTTTAATAATGTCCACTATAGGATTTCTTCTTCTAGAACAGAATTGAGTCTAGAATCAGGGGTTGCATTTAGTTGTCTCATCAATTTAGTTTTCTTTAATCTGGAATATTTCCACAGACTCTCTTTGCCTTTTATGACATTGACATTTTTTGAAAAGTACAGTACCTCAAAATAAAGAAAAAAAGAGTGTTCGTGTTTTGGGTTTGTCTGTTGTTTCCTCGTGGATAGATTCAGGTTATGCATCCCAAGCTGGAATATTACATAAGTGACATTGAACAATATTTTTCCCCCCACACCATTAAAATACTAAAATATAAGGATTCCTTCAGTAGTCCCAAGAAGTATATAATGTGTCTGTCAGTACTTTCTTTCAAAATAATGAATGGCATATCACTCTAAAATCAAACTACAGAAACAGCTACAGAGGATTTAATGGGATTATATTATTTATTAAAATGTTAAAATAGATAATAAGACCTCAGAAATTACCTAGTGCAACGATCTCATTTTACAGAAAAGAGATAGAGTCTCACTGTGAGAGGTTAAATGATTTATCTTCCCTCCTTCGCCCCATTGTCTCGGATGAAAACTGTCCTTCCAATTCAAACCTAACCCTCCTGCTTCCTGGAGAAAGGACCCCATCAGCCACCCCCTCTCTCTGTGTATCCCAGCTCTTCCTCTCCAAGAGCTCCTTCCCTGGGGATTACAAGTGTGTAACAAGCCTCCTTTCATCCCATGAAATGCCCCTGACTTTATCTCTTTTCTTCTCCTTTATTTCAGACTTGTCTCTTTCCTGTTGTTCCTCCTATTTTTTGTTTCTTGTTTCCCATTTTAATCTGCTTATCCTAGAGATATTGGCACTGCTAGGGATGCTGCCCCTGATTCTCTTCCCTTCTCAGCCTCTCTCTGAGTGATTCCACGCACTTCTACGCCTTGAATCATCTCCTCCAACTCAGCAAACATCCATCCCCCGACCTGCCGTCTCCAGCTCCAGACTGTGTGTCTCGCTATTGGCCTGAGACCCCACAGGCCTGCGGTCGAGGTGTGCTGGAGGTACACACGATGGAATACTTGGAAGCAATCTGGCTCTACATGACAACATTTGCTTTCTCGTGGAAAGAAGACAATTTTCCCCTTATGCTGCCTGTTGTTAGCTTAATACCCTTCTCAGAATGAGAGGGAACATGAATTTCCAGATAGGCTGCCACAGTTCTAAGAAGATGGTTTTACGTGCAGCTTGACTAAAATACCATTTTGCAAAGCCACCCAAATCCAAGTGTTCACAAGTGTGCCATTTTGGTGCATTGTGTCTGAAGGGGTC